GGGGGGGGCGCATTTTGTGGTGTGTGGGGCTCGCAGAACCTCGAGGCCCTGTTTACAAATGTCGGCGTTTCCAGCAGCAGCCTCCTGTGGAAGCGGAGGGGCAGGGGCCAGTCGGGCAGGCGCCCTGCTTGGTGCTACTGTGCTGGTGCTGTGGCAGTCACAGGCCAGAGGGTGCAGGGCGACGCTGTGATCGCAGGAAGCGAGGTGCCCGGGACACGGCCTGTGGGTGACGGGAAGCAGGGCTCAGGCAGAGAAGTCAGGGAGAAAATGTTGATGTCACCACGATGGTGTGTGCTCCTGTACCCCTTAGAGGATGTCCCCCAATACATGTCAGGCTCAGAGCTCCACAATTTTGAAAAGACAGCGACTCAACTGTAGCAAGAACCTAGCAGCTTGACAGTGAGGGTGGCCATATTCCCTGGGTCCTCCACCCCACACAGTAGCCCATTTATTCCTGGTTACCAGCCTAGGAGAGAGCATCTCGCGACATCCCCAGTTTGCAGATGAGAAAACTGAGGTTCAGAGAGGGAGAGTGTTTTGCCCAAAGTCACAGAGCTGTTCAGAGGAAGAGCGGGGGTAAACTCAAGGGACCTGGCTGCTTAACCACATCCGCCTCATCTATGACATAGGCTCAGACATAGTTACAGGGACTGGATACCATGTCATCACTAAATCTGGAATCTAGTTTGAGCCTGTTTTCAAAGTAGCCACAGAGAGAAGAGCCCGAGTTGCAACGATTGTATGAGTTACACTGAGAGTGAGTTCAGTGTCCTGTTAGAAAAGAAACACACACCAGTAAGTGGCTTTCCTTCAGGTTAGTCATAACTATTTAAAAAATATAATGAAAAAAAATCCTGTTCCATTCTTAATGACATCCAAACTTAGACATACAAATTTTAAATCTTTTACTCAGATTAATTTTTCCAATTCATGTCCCCAAGGAGCATTCTTGAATCTTGACAAAATGGGTTGGAATGTCATTTGATAAGTAAATACCCAAAAATAACCAAGAAATATTTCTAAAAGAAAAATAACATGGGAAGACTTTTCCCACTAGGTGATAAACTATATTATAAAGTGACTGTATCTTAAGCAGTGTGCAAATGGAACCAGAATTGACAAAATGACTGAAAAAGAGTAGCTCCTTGCCAAATGACAGTCATTTACATAGAAGTGCTTAATGTATCATTAACACGCCATTTCCAATTCAAGGCAAGATTTTTTTAAAGTAAGTGATGCTGGCATGGCAATTTATAAAATAAATTTAAATTTAAACAAAAGAAAAAGTGAAAGCTGATCACAGATGCTGCTTTAGGGCAGCCGCCTCTTTTAGGGAGCCCGGACGCTGACACTACCCCACTCACCGGAGAGAGGACCTCACGTTGCAGTAAAACCTGGGTTTTAAACCTGAAGGAGCTGGACGCGGCCCTGGCATCACCACCTGCCAGCAAAGCCCGTTGAGAGTGTTCCTGGATCCGTGTCCTGGTTTATAAGATGCGGCATGGGTTAGAGTGAATGTTAAACGCAACGGTGTTGCTGGGTTCTTGGCAAAGAGCAAGCTCATGAAATGCTCCCCCGATGCCCAGCTTCTGTGCTTCTCTTGCGTTTGCGTCCACAAAGGAATTGTTCTCAGAGGGCTCACGAGAGGCCCGAACCCCAGCTGTTGGGTTCCACATGACAGCAATCACTCACCCCGGGGGTTCCTGCCGGAGGGAGGATGGGACAGGTGGAGGGCGTGGCAGGGGCTTGGCTCCAGGCCCTGGGATGGCGACAGCTGAGCTGGCTCTCACTTTGGAGATGAAATTCACCCTTCAATTACAGCACTTTCCCCAGACATCCATCTGAACTCGGAGCGCGGCCAAGGCTTCCGTTTTAAGACCATAATTGGCAAATCTGGTCCCGAAGCCCCATCATCACTGTTCTCTGAAATTGCAGTGTACTTGTCATCTGAAAATATGCAGCTCAGTCTGGTCATGTTGCCAAAATGCCACTTGTACGGACTGTGAAAATAGCAATATTTGAAGGATGCTTTAAAAGCCCAGCGTCTCCGCAGGGAAACCAGGTTCCAGGTTCAGGAGGACGGGGTCCCTGGTGCTGAGGTGGCCCCATGCCTCCAGGACGAGTGGGGGTCCACCTTCTTCTTGCTGAGTCCATAGGAAATCGGGTGGGATATTTTGGTGACTTCTCTGGATAAACCTTTTCCCCTTTCTTTTTCTGTTTTTATTGAAAAAACAGACAAAAAAGGGTTATGGCGCTAGATTGTTTTGGTACTTTATTACCATTCTGATTTTAGTGACCCCCAGTGCTCTGGGCAGCCATCGCGGTTTTGATAAAGTAAAATAAAAATGACAGGTTAAAAGTGTGCTATTATAGACAATGGCCTTTTTATACCTGGGGACAGTTTTCTGGAAAGAATGTTCAGCTCTGTAGGAAGCTCAGTGCAGGAAGAAAGAGCACTAGCTGAAAGCCAGGAGGCCTAAATTATCTCTGGCTTGGTCACTCTCCAGCTCTTTGTTCCTAGAAAGTCACCTAAGTTCTCCGAGCTTCCAACTCATTTGTGAAGGAAGCATTACCCCACCCCTCCCCTGGGACATTCTGGGGATCAAATGTGAAGATGTTTTACAGACGAGGAAACTGAGGCAATGGAGTAAGCTCCCTCCCCCTTCAGGGCTTAGCTGATGACTGACAGTGCTTTGTAAACTGTAAAGGGCTGTACCTAAGATCGCCATGGAGATGTGCTAGCACAAGGTACATGCTCACACATATTTATTATTAGGCTAAACTACTGTGGTCTTCTGAAAAAAAGTCAAAGAAAAAACCAAAAATAAATAAATAGAAAGATTTTTGCCACTAACTGTCAATAATACACCCATTGAATAGCTCCCTGGAATGGTCTGGAACCAGCACCCCTGAGGGACCCAGAGGCCTGTGTTGGGAGGCAGCGTTTTGCCTTCTTTAACACTGTTTGTGGGCAGAATACTGTACCCGTTGCCCCATCCCCACAGCCCAGGCTCCACAGCCCTTCACAGTAGAAGCTTACACCCCTGTTCATGGTCACCTCTGGCCCCACAGGGCACAGGTGCCCCAGCAGGTCTCTGCCAGCCTCTCCCCAGCAGCCGCCCCGCGGGCCCCTCCCTTGCCGTGACAGTGTGCCCTGTGTGCCGGATGCGGGAGGCGGCCTGCAGAGCGGCGAGGAGGCAAAGCCCCGCTTTCAGTCCTGTTGCGCCCTGCGGAGCGCACGCCCCTGGGCAGGCTGCGTGAACCCCTCCGAGCTCCACTGTCTTCATCTCTGAAAGAGGGTCTCAGCTGGGGTTTTCCAGGAAACAGACTGCGATGCGGATTTGCATGCAGGGAGTTCAGGGTGCAGTGCTCAGAGCAGCACCTGCAAGGAAGCAACGGCAGACTGGTGGGGGCAGAAGCCGCGCTGTGACGCAAGCCCAGCAGTGGCCCGTCGAGCCTCAGTGAGCCCTGGCGCTGGGCTGGCCCTTCGCAGCTGTCCTATCTTGGGGCAAGGGGGCTGGGCGGCTGTGTGCCCACATGGGCTAGTTTTTGGACACAGGCTGATCCTGGGGAGAGACTCAGCTGGGAGCCCCCAACAACCAACCTTCCAGCAGTTGGGGAAATGAGAGCCTCGGTCCTGAAGACCGCTTGGACACTGCGGTGTCCGCTACAGAGAGCGATGGTCTTTTCTCCCCCAGAGGGGCGAGGGGGCGCTAAATGATACCGCGTCTGCGAAGACCTAACCATGGTACCACCTCGCAACAGACACGCATCTTGCTGTCAATGTTACCCAGCGTTATTGTCACTATTGTGTTCTAACACCTGTCTTTTCCACTCTCTCCCATTCTACTGTGACCCGCTTAAAAGAAATAGCGATGCTTTTGTTTGGGGTGTGTGTGTGCATGTGTGTAACCCTAGGCTTGAGTACAGAACTTGGTCCATAAAAAACTTTTAGGAAATGGTTGTAGAATGGAGATGCGGGTAAAGGAATGGCTCACATGGCAGTAAAGACTGAGAAGAGGGTTCCCTGGGGCTGCCCTTTGGCTCTCTGCTATCTTCATGCCCCAGGTGAGAACCGTATGTGACTGACATCCCCCACTTTCTCTCCCAGTCCCTCTAGACTCATGGCAGACCCTGGCCCTCTCCTCAGCAGTCGTTGACCCGTCCATCAGGGACTTCGATGTTGCCCACATCAGCATGGCTGCCACCAGCGACTTCTCAGCTGCCCGAGACCTCTGCTTGTTGGGTAAGGGGAGTTCCCCCCATAGTGGGGTTGACAGGGACAGGGCCTCATACAACTGCTGCTCAAGATTCTGACCTCAGAAACACATAGGAGGTCCCCAGATAACACCGGGTGCCTGGCAGGAAGTGGTTGGCCTGGAGGGAAGACCCGGGGTGGGCTCCCCTCTGCAGTGTCGCCATTCTGCTGCAGAGTCGGCCCACGGTCAAAGTCACCATGGGGATATGGCAGACAGAAAGTGAGTGACATTGAACCAGGTCAGAGGAGGGCCAGAGGGATGATCTAGGGGCTAGTGTGAGGCAGAGGAGATGAGTGGAAGCTGTGACAGCTGTCCTCAGATGACAGGTGGGCCATCATGGTGAGGAAGAAATATACTCATTCTGGCCAGATTTATGGGGCAAAACTAAGACTTATGCTTAAAACTCAAATTTCAAGACACAGTTTCAGTGCAATATAAAGAACTTACTAAAAGATAAAGCTGTCCACAAATGCATACTTCATTTAGAGGTATAAGCTAGGTGACCATTCAATAGCAAAGTTTTACAAAGACTTTAGCTTGTGCAAGAGCCTGAGGTTAGGCAGCATTCACGCTCCTCCAATTCTGAAATCCCATGAATGTCCTCCCCTACAAGGTTGGATGACAATACACCTATCTTACAGGCAGGGCTGCCATGCCCAGAGGTACAGGTCGTGCACTGGATGGTGCTAGAGCCCAGAGACCTGGTATAAATAAGGCCTTTAGGCAGTGCACGGCTTGTGCAAGTGAAGGAGGCAGCACTCTTTTCAAAGCCATTCTCAGGACTGAAATGCCATGCACAATTTAAATTGTCTAGTATAGGAACATGGGAAATGACATAACCCCCAGTGGGACATAGTGGGTGTGATGGGGAGGGGGAGGGAGGCAAAGCTGAGGAAGAAGGCAAAGGCTGGAGTACAGAGAGCCTTGTTTGTGTGACTTAATCCTGAGGCCGGTGGGGAGCCTGGAATATTTTAAATAGGTGAGTGACAGGAGCACATCTGTGAATAAGTAAACAACCCAAAAGCTGACTGTTGTGAGGAAAATAGATGGATGGGAAAGTTGGGCTCTCCCCCACCAGCATTTTATTACCACCCTCTGTGGCAGTGCCTGGGATATATATTAGGTGCTTAACTAAGTAAGTGAGTGGTTGCATGAACGGTGGATGGATTGTATATGTGGGTGGGTGGATGAATGGATAAATGCATCGATAGATGGACTAATGAATGGATGAATGAATGGATGTATGTATGGATAGATGGATGAATGGATGGATGGATGGATGGATGGATACAGGATGGATGGATGCATAGATGAATGGGTGCAGGGATGGATGAATGCATGGGTGCATGATTGGATGGCATCTCTGAGGCCCAAGCCTCACTCCATTCTCTACACCTCAGAGTGTTCCCGTCACCAAGCCTGCCAGGTCACCACTTTGCAGACCCGACCTGGTACTCTGAGGTGTGTGTTCTATGCTGATACCCAGATCTGCACACATAGCCTGCAGGCCCAGTACTGCCAACTTCTGCTCCGTGAAGAGGCCACCCACATCTACTGGAAGCTGAGTAAGTCCAGGCCTGTGCCTTTGGGGCCATTCCTGGGAGCCTGGGCATGGCTGAGAGGCATTGTCCAAGCACGTGGTGACTTGCAGGCAGTGACTTCTGAGGTTCTTAAGGGAAAGTTGGCCAAAGTTGTTCTGGGCTAGGTGGCTTTCACCCAGGATGGACTAAAGGAAGGCAGAAAACCCCCTTCTAATGTAGGTCTTCTCTGCACCATCTCTGTTCATTTATTCTTTTGAGTTATAGAAGCCATTTTGGCCTTTGAGTTTCTTAGTAAAATAATTAGACAGGCCACATTTTATTACCGCTTTGTAGTTTAGAAAGGCCTCTCACATGCCAGACCTCATTTGGTCCCCACACTAGTCCTGTGAAATAGTAAGATAAGGGTTTTATCCCATCTTAACAATCAGGAGACTCTGGCCCAGAGAAGTTAAGTCACTCCTCTGATTTCACACAGCGATGGCAGAAGAGGGACATGGAGCCAGGTCTCCAGTCTGTAGATGTAATCCTCTCCCACAAAACCAGGTCCCTCATGACCGCATCACAGGCACTTCAGAAAGGGCAGTGGCTCCTGGCTCAGTTTAGTTTAAAAACAGTCCATAAGGTGTTATTATGTGTCAGACACTGTTAGGTGCTGGGGATATAGGGGTGAAGCAGGCAAGGGGATAGCAACATATAAATAAATTCATCACTTAGTGAAATTGGTAAGGTCTGTGTAATAAGACACATGGGATCTGGGGGCCCGAGGGATGCATCTACCCAATTAGAGATGCTTATTGGATGAAATTAAGAAATTTTTAGAAATGTTGGCTATGTCTGCCATCTTATCTCCAAGAGTAGAGGTCAAACCACTTCTTCTGTTAAGGGCCAAATAATAAATATTGTAAGCTCTAAAGCCACAATATTTATTGTCTCTGTTACAGCTACTCAGCTCTTCCATTGTAGCAGGAAAGCAGCCACAGACAATACATTCTCTAAATCCATGGGCATGGCTGTGTGCCAATAAAACTTTATTTATAAAGCTAGGTAGCAGTTGGATTTGGACTCACCCTGTCCTAGAACATGGGTTGTCTTGATCCAGTGATAAATCTCCTCCTCTGCCCCTCCTCCATCTCAGCCTTCAGACCATGAGCGTGCCCCCCAGGCCTGGGGATACTGAGATCTTGGCCCTCAATCTCCAGTCCTGTCTCCTATCTGGACATTTCTGTTATTTAGTCAAGTTAGATTTCAATAGTATATTTCATCCATAGTGTAGCTAATCTGCATGGCAGTCCTCTGAGAAATGCCTTAACTCTGAGGTTTCAGTTCTGTAAAATAAATCAGACTCTTTTTCTATTAATTGTGTGTGAGTCAAATTCCATGTGAAGTGCTTGCCTCTGGCAGGAGAGGTTTGCCCACACCTGTGTATAGAGGCATTCTTAGTTGGTACCTAAGGCACTATAGAGCTACAGGTAACTTTCTTCACCCAGGTAGTTAGGAAATAGCTAAATGGCCTAAATACGTGGATATTCTGGAAGGAATCCACTGTTTCTGCAAAAGAGCTTATAAGGGAGAAGCACGTCAGACATTTCCCCATATGGGCTCTCATTTAGCCCGGGATCCATTGGCGGCCTCCGTAAGGGAGGGCTGAATACCGCTGTCCGTGGGAAAGCCAGCTTGCATTCCCTCGAAATTCTTCACTTTTGTAGTTTCTGTCCTTGCTCCCCCTTTAATGATGCCACGTTCATGAATTACAGCTGTTTCCTGCGGAGCAAAAGAACTAGCCTCGCAAGGTTCTGCCACTTTAGTGCCCACAGTCTCGCACACTTGCCTGAGACCCTGTGGTTTATAAGTGAAACAGGAAATCTTGTGAGAAAGCACTGTGGGGGAGAGATCAGTCAGGATGTGCCATGAGGCCAGATTAAAAAGCAGCAATGATTTCTTTCCATCCTGAGTTTCCATTTTGAGTTCCAACCCACACTCCAATGTTTTTACAACAGAGGTTTCCTTTAGTTTCCCTCCTTCCTCGCTTTCTTCCTCCCTTCTCTCTTTGTCATTCATTCATTCATTCATTCATTCATTCATTCATTCATTCTTTCATGTTTTGAGCTGCCATTTGCCAGGCACTGGACTTGGAACATTACACGCATGATGTTACTAATTCCTAATATCTTTGTGTTGTAGGGATTACTATTATTTCTATTTTGCAGTTGGGAAAATCGAGGGTCCGAAAAATTATGAAGTTTTCAAAAGTATCTGGCCCATAACATAAAACACAGGCCTGCCCGGTGTTGCTCAGTGGTTGACGTCGACCCATAAACCAAGAGGTCACGGTTCGATTCCTGATCAGGGCACATGCCAGGGTTATGGTCTCAATCCCCAGGGGGGTGTACAGGAGGCAGCCAATCCATGTTCTCTCTCACTGATGCTTCTATCTCTCTATCCCTCTCCCTTCTTCTCTCTCTAAAAATCAATAAAAAGATATTTTAAAACAAAACCCACAGACCATCCATTGGTTCCTCCTCGCCATGCTGAGCGTCAGTGGCCTGGCGTCATGAACACACAGCACACCAGGGTTTCTCAACCTCGGCACCACTGACACCTGGGCCCTGGGTAATTCTTTGTTGTGGGGAAGATAATCTTGTCTATAATACCATGTTCAACAGCATCCCTGGCCTCTACCCGTGAGATGCCAACAGCTTCTCTCCTTCACCCTTGTGACAACTGAAACTGTCTCCAGACATTGTCAAATGTCCCCTGGACCAAAATCACCCCCGGTGGCACCACTGCATTATACCCAGCTTTTGAGGAATGGATAGACTTCTGTCTGTCTCCTGTCCCAGGCTTCTGTTAGTCATCACATACGTATTACAAATAGAAGGAGCTGAGGAGGGAACTGCAAAGCTTCTCTCTCAATCATCAATCAGCTGACGGGAAGCCGAGCAGAGCAAACACACCTGACAGCAATAATAGGAGACCCCCCCCCACACACACACGAGAGAGAATCTCCTCACTAGTATTTGTGTCCTTTGTGTAAAACCCTAAGCCCTGTGGGAAATCAGACAGGCCTGTCTGAGGTCCCTGAAAATGGTATTTGTCACTTTACTGATTCAATGAATGAATGGCAGACAGGTCAGTAGAGGAGATAAGCTAGGGCTTCAGAGAGGCTGATAAGTGTCTGACAATCAGTATTAGAGGAAGGAATGGAAGATGCCTGGAGCACAGATCTTTGAAGGCAGGTGACAGGTCTTGACCTAATACATCAGGTAAGGTTGGGAGATGAACAAAGGGAGGGAGGACATTGCAGGCACTGGCAGAGAGCGCCCCTGACCTGGCCCTTAACCCTGTGTGAATGGGGCATGGTCAGAGTTGGGGTTCAGAAAGGTGTGGCCTTGAATCCCATATCAGCTGGAAGTCCTGGGCAGCCACCTGGCTTGGGCCCCTACACCTGTTTCCTCACCAGTGAAATGCAAATATGGGCCCCAGGTCCTTGGCTGCAATTCTGAAATCAAAGTTCTAAAAGTCAGAAAAAAAAATGTTTTTGGTAAGTTTTTGGCAAACTCATTTGGTGGCAAAACCTGAGCTGGATTTTGTGACTGAAGAAATTATATTCTTTATCCCTTGCTCTTAGGAGGAACCATGCATGCCTTTTATCACAGAAATACTTGTGTTTAATGACAGGCTCTTCTCCAGACCTCCCTGGGGAGATGGCACACTGCATGTCTGCGTCCTTCGGTTCTTTTAAAAAGCAAACAGTCCTGAATTGTGGCGCACATCTGGCCCAGGGTGCTGAGGAGGGGCTGTGGGCCTGGGTTAGTCTGTTGGGAAGAACCCACGAGATGACCACCAGGGAGCAGGGGTTAGAGCTGCTCTCTGCCTGCTCGGTGCCTGGGAAAGACCAGGTGCCTTTGCTATTATTTCTTTTTCCACATTGAGCACTAACCTCACTATTGGGGTCTGACTGAATTACCAACATTTTTAAAATGAAAAAAGCAGTGTTTGTTTCTTAAAGCATGTTCAGAATATTCCATGTGAATAGGGCCCCCATCTCTCTCTCTCTCCTCACCCACTCCCGTCCCAACAGACATCCCTCTGCTCGGCTTGGGGACATCTGCACCTTCTGTGACCATCGCGCCCCATGGCCGGCTGCTGGGCAGGTCCCAGGCCGTCCAGGTGGGCACTTCATGGAAGCAAGTGGACCAGTTCCTGGGGGTGCCCTTTGCTGCCCCGCCCCTGGCCGAGAGCCGCTTCGGGGCTCCGGAGCCCTTGAACTGGACGGGGCCCTGGGCTGCCACCGCGCCACGGTAAGGCCCAGAGCAATACGCTCGGCAGATTCCTCCGCCGTTCAGTCCATCACCCTCAGACCCGATGGCAGAGCGGTGCCTTCGGGTTTGAGCGGTGCCTGGGCGGAGGGTGTCCAGTTAAGGTGGCATGTGCTCTAACAGACACCCTCCCCCAATATCAGTGACTTAACATTACCCTGCTCCTGTGAAGCCCATTAGGTGATGGAGGGGCTGGTGTGCTCAGCTCCATGCAGCGATTTGGGGGCCTAACTGCTGCAGAGCTGGTGGGCAGTGGGCTCTGGACGCTGGTGCTGGGCTGGAAGGGGACACGGGGCATGTCCCCTTGGCTGTTTCCCCTGGCAGTCAGACCGTCTGTATCTGCAGGGCCAGCTGCTGGCAGCCAGGGATCGCAACACCCGCGTCTTCCCGAGTCAGCGAGGACTGCTTGTATCTCAACGTGTTTGTCCCTCAGAGCGTGGTGAGTTCCGAAGCCTTTGCTGCGTTTGCCCTGAAAACGGCCTCTTAGCAAGCCCCGATCCCCACAGCTGCTGGCGCGGTCACTCGTCCTCGCTGAGGTTTGCCCCCAGCAGCGTCCTGGCTGGGCCTGTGTGACTGAGAGCAAGCAGAGGGCCCTCCTGGCTCCTACGCAGCCTTGTCTGCTCCTCGCCACACCCTCTTGTTCCATCCACACGGGGACAGTGCACCTTATCCCCATCTAGTGCTCTGAGAAGTATTCATCCTGGGCCTGCGACCGGTGGGGACTCTTCTGGGTGGGCCACAGCTACGCACAAAACCAAGCAGCTGCCCTGGGGGTGCTTACTTTAGTGGGAAGGGGCAGAAATAAACAAATAAGCAAATAAATGTTCAACAACAGTTGAACAACAAACACATAAATATTAAAGAAAAATACAGCACAGGAGGAAACAGCACACGACAGGCGGTGTGAGGTGGCGACCAGGTGGTGCCATTCCGCAGGGACGTGCAGCAGGGGGGTGTGGGCCCTGCAGGCAGTGGAGGGCCAGCCATGCAGGGTTGGGTGGGGCACAGACTGGAGAAGGAAAGCCCAGGTTCAAATTAGTTTGCAAATGTGGAGATGACCTCTCTCCTTGGGAAGACCCTTGGGGCCATTTTTGGAGCTTTCCACGTAGACTCTTGTTTGTGGCAGTTCTGGAGGGTGAGGTTGGGGCTCTGACCCCGACTCTGGTTATAATCCGGGTTGAAGCCTGTATTTGCCTGAGAAATGGCTATGATCCTGATCTTCAGTCTTTACATTTCCTGATTTGGGGGAAGGGTCAGAGCACAGGAGAGAAAAGGGAACTGCTGAACTTTAGGAAACATGAGTTTCTGGTGACCCAGTGTTGACTGATCTTATGGTACGTGTCACCATATTACCCCTTTCTGGTCCCCTAGCCTACTGGCAATGAGAGTAAACTGCACTTTGGAGGTTTGATCTCAGCTAGCTGAATGAGCTCCGTAACAAGGCCACCAAAAACATGAAAGCTCTCATGGGTTGCATTAATTAAAGTATGGAGCTTAGAGTGAGGGAGGTGATAAGAGTCCATTCTGCCCAGTGCTGGTCATACCATACTTGCCAGCACTGAATTAAGTTCTGGCTCCAAACCCGCCTACCACTCATTACTACCTCACTGACCTACAGAAGGTAACTCAAGTCCAATGTGCCCCAGTTACCTTGTCAGAGACTAGAGAGGAATAGTGTCTGCCTCATAAAGTTCTTGAGAGAACGAAATAAAATAACATGTTTATACTAATAATTGATGGATCCCTGATGCATACTAATTACTCAGTGAATTGTGTACTTCCTTTTGATCCTCACAATATGTCTAAGAGGTGTTATTCCCATTTTTCAGATGAAAAGCCCAAGGCTCAGAGAGATTAGGTGACTTGCCTAAGGTCACTGGGCTAGTGAGTGATTACTGTAGACTTGGTCATTCGAATCCCAGAGCTCATGGCCAAGGTCAGTGAGGGGGGACCAGCGGCCTGATCCCCTTCTCCTGACTCTAAATCCAGTGCTCCTTCCTCTAGGGAAGTTCCTGGTCTGAGAGCTTTGCATTCCTGTTTGGGCTGCTCTATCACCCCATCCTGGCCTTGGGAGAGTGTGGGTGCCATACCTGGAATTCCACAGCAGTGCATGAGCCCCACAGTGACAGACCCTGTGGAGGAGGGACCAGCAGCTTGGATGCTTCCTCTGGCCTCAGGGGCCTCAGGGGCTGAGAGCTGACCCTTGCCTCTGTGCCTGGCCCTTGCTGCTTTGACTCTTGCTGCAGCAGTCCCAACAGCCCTCTCTCTTGCTGGCATGCTGCCCTGGGAAAATAACTCAGGGTACTTATAGTAGGCCCAGCCCTGACCTCTCTGATAGCCCACGATAAATGAAAATGAGGCCACCTGAGCCAGCCTTTTACAGAGGCATTAAAAGTCTTTATATATGATGAATCAACCCCTAAGAGATGGAAGGACCCAAGAGAGTGTGCTGGGAGGGGAGCCTGGGGTCAACCCCTTCCTCTCTGTAGGTACTGTTAGAAGTGACTTCCCCACTCTGAGCCTCTGTTTTCACACCTGCAGAATGGGGTGCTCATAGTCATTAGAGCATCTGCCCCATGAGGTGTGGGCTGCAATGAGACATTCCAGGTGGCACACTCAGCAAAGCACCCATGAGGCAAGTCCTCGGTCAGTGCTCACTGTCGGTGAGGAGACCATTTGTGTGTCGGAGCCCTTGGCACATGGAGTGGAGAAGTCACAGTAGAGGGAGGCAGGACCTGGATGGCATGAGCCATCTGGCACCTTGCCTACACCCTTGCCTGGGGTGAGGTGTCAGCTCCTCCAGATGGAACATTGTAGTCTAAAATTAAAGGATCAGCCTAGCTTCAAAGCCCAGCTCTGCTACTTCTGTGCTTCTGTGTGATCTCAGACAAGCTACCTAATACCTCTAAGCCTCTACTTCCTCATCTGTGAAATGGGAAGAATAATAGGCCACCCCATAGAGCTGTTTGAGGACTGAATGAATAAAATACTCAGCACAGTGCCTGGATGCTGGTCAGTGCTTAGTAGAGGAAGCTCTGCGTTACCAAGATGGGGTTCCAGTCAGAGTGGCCAAACAGAAAGGGCTCACCAAGGACTCACCAGAACATCCTTCAGGAATAAAGTAGCGGCCAGAAGAGGGGTGTTGGATGACTGTGTGACTCCATGAGACCGGCTCCAAGCCTGCCACGAGCTGCTATTCCAGCCACGTGCTCACTTTGCATTGTGGGCAAATGTCTTCACTTTTTGTGACCCTCAGTTTCCTTACCCGTGAAATAGGGTTTATTAGTTAGCTTGGGCTGCTCTGACAAACTGCCACAAACTGGAGGCTTAAACAACATAAATTTGTTTTTTCATGATTTTAAAGGCCTGGAGTCCAAGATCAAGGGGTCGGCAGGGTTGGTTTCTTCTAAGGCCGCTCTCTTTGGCTTGTAGATAGCCATCTTCTCCCCTGTGTCCACGTGGTCTTTCCTCTGCGTGCATCTGGGTCCTAATCTCCTCTTTCTGTAAGGGCACCAGTCATATTGGATTAGGGCACATTTGCTAATTACCTCTTTACAGAGCCTATCTCCAAACCCAGTCACGTTCTGAAGTCTGGGGTTCAACATGTGAATTTGGAGGGGCACACTTTGGCCCATAACATGGGGCCAAGTGGGCCTACAGGACAGAGTTGATGGAAAGTCTTGTGTAGGCTTGGAATGTGGCACCTACGTGGGCAAGGAGCCCTCACTGAACTCTGGTAGGTGAAAATGGGCCAACCTATAACCCCCACATTTTTCCAATCCCCACAGACCCCCAATGCATCAGTCCTGGTGTTCTTCCACAACACCATGGCAACCCGGGATGGTGAAGGGGGCCTGGCCCTCGACGGCTCCTTCCTGGCTGCTATTGGCAACCTCATTGTGGTCACTGCTGGCTACCGAGTGGGCATCTTCGGCTTCCTGAGCTCTGGTGAGTTGCTGGCATTGGTGGGGACTGCTGATCCCTGCACTGAGGCTTGCTCTGTGTGTGTCCAGCCCCTTCTTCCCAAAGCCTCATCTCCTCGTGGTCCCTGGCCCTCCTCAGCCCCACGGAGCATTCAGTGGGACATCCAACATGCTCAAGAGACTCTCTAGGGATGCTGACACCCTAGACAAGGCAGTAGTTGCCATGAATTGAACTTTGTGTTGGAAGCTGTCCCAAGGATGTTACATGTGTTATCTTGTGATGTGATTGGTATGTGTGTGTGCGTGTGTGCGCTCGCTGAGGCCCCAGCAGGTTAGACACTGCTTGGGGTCACATGGTCAGGAAAGAGCAGGCCCAGGATTCATCACCAGAGCTGACTGGCCCTGGAGAGCTCTAAGGGGTGGATGGTAGCTCTTGGGCCCACAGGAAAGCCGTCTGGGAGTGAGTGCTGTGCCAATATGTTTTCCCTTCAATTCCAGCCTCACCTGTGAACACTGGCCTGTCCCCTGCAGTCACAGACATGTTTATCCCCCATCCCGCCACCCCCTGGGTGGACCTGAGGCCTAACCAATGTCCTTTCACATCTTCTCCACCTCCAGACCCACCAGTGGTAGACAGGTGTCAGGCAGAGGGCCCACAGTCATTGTCCCTGTGACCTGGGACAAAGCCCTTTCTTTCCCTGAGTCTTAGTTTTCTCCTCTATAAAATGAGAATCATTTTACCCAACTTCCAAAGTTCCTGTGAGGCCCAAATGAGGCAGTGCGTGGGTAGGGCCTTCCGGGCCCTCTAGGATGGGCACTGAGCTGCGTCTTTGTTCTCCTGGGGCCTCACGTAGGACCTGGACTGTCTGACCTGCTGGGAACG